CCCTCCACATTTATGAGTGCTTTTGTGTGCACCTGGATACACATTTTTGTCATGTCCATGCATGTTGCATTGGTCATGCTCATCCATTTGTAGTGAGCACTCAACAAGCATTGAACCTTGAAAAAAAAAAATAAACCTGCATATTTCAATGCAGCAGCTCATTTATTCTAAGATGCAGGTGCATATGTTTTGGTACGACACAAGCACACACACACACACACACACACACACACACACACACTCTTTACTTTATAATTTATAAGTAATCTTTGTTTACAGATGTGACATCACTACTTTCACATATAAGATACGTTCAGACAGTTGGGACATTGCTACTCTGCAAAGGAAATGTGCATTGACACAAATGTTACATCACTATTACATTTCTTAGCAATAATAAATCATTAAACATTAGATTATATTTTACTATTCATTTTACATGTTTATGTAACTGCTTTTGGTAAACAACCATCACCTTTCATGATTTTAATGATGTGTTTTGCTTCTTTCTTGTCATTTACAGGACATATACATTTCTATCTGTTTTCAAAGGGGACAGAAAAGCAGTGCTGGAAAATTATGCCTTTCGTCTTCAAATCTTTATGTCAGATAAATATAGAGCTGTGAGATTCAGTTTCTGATGAGCAATATATGAAACTATAAACGCTTCTAGCGACGAACCAGGGTCTCAACTGTCAGCTATGATGGGCTTCTTGGAATCTTTGTGTTAGTAGATCATCCATTCTCTGTTTGGAAAGGACTCTTTAAAACAGAAAAGGTGAGAACGGTGGAATATTACTTTTCTAAGCAAAAATGACAACTTAGTTTGGCTTGAAGCTATTTTATCAAGCTTAAAATACACACTCAAATGCATATGGCCATGTTTCACTGGCATAGCTGACATTGCACATTTCAAGGCAAATAATTACATTTATCTCAATGTTTCAAAGTTTGCAGTAATTTGATGTCATTAAAGAAAATGAAGAATGCCACTCTATCACACTGAATATAGAATGTATTTTTATCTGTACCAAACTAAGCTGCTTAAGGAAGAAAGCACAATGAACTGTTTTGAATTTTAAATGGAGATTCTGGGTAGATTGTTTTGGATTGGGTCAAAACCTTTATTAGGCTGGGCACACACCTTACAACCATCGCAAGACTTTTGTCTTGCGATGGTCGTAAGGTACTTAAAAAAAACGTACGATCTGCCTATCTTGCATAGGCAGATCGTACTTGCGATGATCGCAAACCACGCCCCCCCCCTGAGGCGTGATAGATATCAGATGATATCTATCATCTGATGACATGATGTTCAACTAAATCATTCCAACTAATCCCCAGTGTACTTATTACACACAATCACATGTGCCACAAAAACAGATGAATGGTAAATATACAAAAGCAATCCAAATATAAGATGGAAACTGCAATCCACATCAGTGCCCCAGACATAAATCTTCAATTAGGGATGCACTGATACACTATGCACAGCCCTAGTGACATGCCGTGCACATCTTCGATTACCCTACACATCCCCAGTGATCCCGCAATCCTCAGTGACACCACACATTCTGGGTGACCCCGCACTTCCCCACTGACACTGCACTTCCCCGCACATCCTCTGCGACCCCGCACATCTCCTGTGACACCGCACAGTGGCGATCTATCAAAACTGGAGCAGACATAATCTGAAGCAGAAAAAATGTGGAGCAGATATGCACTGCGGCCAATCAGCATCTCTCGCTCTCTCATTTTCAAATCTTACTTAAACTGAAGAGAGAAGCCAATGTCTTTTTCATTTATCATCAGTAAATTACAAGAATGGTGGGGGAAGGGGGGGGGGGCAAATTGAGAAACCTGGACTTGGGGCAGCAGAGAGTAAATCTGATCCTGGAGATCTGAGATAGACACACATGACACACCCCACAGGGAGGGACTACACGTATTACTCTCACATTCATGCTAAATACTCCCGCATAGATTACATTTTCGTGTCCCAAGCAGACCTCCCCAGACTTCAATCCTCAACGATAGGAAACATAGTGTCCTCCGACCACGCACCTATTTTGGCCACATTCTCGATCTTCCCCCCATCCCTACGACAATCCACCTGGAGACTAAACACCTCCTTACTCAAGGAAGTGCAAAATATTGACACAATCACAGAGGAATTGCAGGAATACTTCGCCTTTAATGCTACAGGTGACACACCCCCCATGATCACGTGGGAAGCACACAAATGCTACGTCAGAGGGAGAATCATCTCCCTTGCGGCGAAGCTGAAGAAAACACGCCTGGCACAAATACAGACCCTCAAAGCCACAATCAGACCTGGAAACGACCCACAAACAATCCCTGGCCCAACGCGACTTACTCACACTGACCGATGCCAGACAGGAGCTCTTGAGCCTACTGACAACCAAGATCAGACGGACCTTCACCCTGCGCACAGGTTACTACTACTCGGATGGAGACAAGTGTGGCAAGCTCCTAGCCAGAGCGGTACGTACGAAAAAATTTAGCTCCCACATCCATAGCATTAAAAGCTCCCCCTCCAAACTCACACACTCCCCGCCGGAGATAGCAGCCTGCTTTCAGGAATATTATGCTACACTCTACAACCTAACCCAAACGTCCCAAACAGACTCCAATACCGACGACCGCCTAACCCAAATCCGCCAATACCTACGGAGAGCCAACATGCCTTCCATAGACGAGACACTACTGGCCTCCTTAGATAAACCCCTCACCGAAGAAGAACTCCAGACCTCTCTCAAACAATCAAAACCAGGCAAGAGCCCGGGCCCGGACGGCCTTCCAACACAATACTACAAGTCCTTCTTGACTACACTACTACCTCACATGTTAACTGCCTACAATTCCCTCCAAAACAATATACACCCCCCTCCACAACACTTAGAAGCTCACATAACCGTGATACCAAAGGAGGGGAAAGACCCACAACTCTGTACCAGCTACCGACCCATTTCGCTCAACGTAGATCTGAAGATCTTCACGAGAGCCCTGTCGAACCGCCTTCTCCCCCTGCTACCTGACCTGATCACCCCTAACCAGGTGGGATTTATCCCCGGCAGGGAAGCCAAGGACAGTACCACGAGAGCACTCAACCTGATCCACTGGGTACAACAACGTAAGCTGGAGACACTGGTGCTGTCCACGGACGCGGAGAAGGCGTTCGACAGGGTGGCCTGGGACTTCATGTTCGAGGTCCTCCAACACATTGGCCTACGAGACCGCATGACCCACTGGATTCAAGCGATTTACTCCTGCCCCAGAGCTAGAGTCAGGACGATGGGCTGTCTCTCTGACAGCTTCCAGATTTTTAACGGGACTCGTCAGGGATGTCCTCTATCTCCTACCCTCTTTGCACTTGCACTCAAACCCTTCATTAGACTGGGTCCAATTGTACCCAGAGATCACAGGCATCGCGATAGGCCCCACAACCCACAAAACGATGGCATACGCAGATTCCCTACAATTCGGGAATGGTTGACCCAAGTGGGCCATGTCTACGAAATGGAGGAGCTAATAGCCACTAAACTAGACATGCTAGATAAATTTTGCTCGCTATGGGCTTGTTGGACCTATTTTGTTAGTACTACCGACCTCACTACTCTACACTGAGCTACCATTGGACCAGACGTACCCTACACACCTTGATCGCCCCTCACACAATATTAAATCCTGAGCCACATACTAGACCCCATGTTCCCTTTACACCCCTGCACCCGACTCCCATACACCTC